ATAATTGGCTTGTCAAATTAAAATTTCACCCCCAAAATAGTGACTGTGAAAATTTTTACACTTACATATATTTTTAATAGATACTTTGAAGTCTTTTCATAGAAACTTCCTTATTAGCCACTGGTGTGGATTGTATCATATTACTATTCCAGTAATTGAATGTGATTTATTTTACTGTATTTTATTTTATTTTACTTTTTCACTATCTATCTAGATTTTAAATATTGAATTATGTTATCAGAGATCATTTTCTGAATTTATGTCAGTAAAACTGTTTTGGAAAGTCAAAATAGTGTTTTTTAAAATCTTTCTTCTTTTTGTTTTTATTATTTAGAAAGTTCTAATCAGATTAACAATAATGACTTATTGCTTTGCTTAGGTTAAGTCTCCTCCTCTTTCTTTTCCTGGTAATGTGACAAAACACACAAACAAACAAAGAAAAAAAAACATTACAGTGACAACAAAACAGAGATTTATCATGAGGACTTTAATAAATATGAATCCACAAGTTTTGAACCACATAATACTTTAATCTCTGAGGCGCAGGAGATCCTGCCTTGAGGTTGAGAGAATTACAGAAATTGAAAATGGCATCTCAGTTTCATACATAGTTCATGAGAAGCCTTTGGAATTAATGCAAAGGAGAACACACTGTATGCATACAGTCAAGTATGAAGAAAACGTTTGCCATGATTGTGAGTTTTATTTAACACATTGCCTTCCTGATGACTAAATAAGTGAAGTCCTTTGCTGGCTGGTAGACATTAATACTTATTTAGTGTTTTAATATTTTACTGTCACTAGAAGTAGTATTCTCTCATATTAAAAATCTGAAATATAATGTGCATTCAGTAAGATCTGGCAGTTCACATTCTTCACTTCAGTGCTTCTGTCATGGAGAGAAACTTCAAATCTCTCTAACTGATGAAAACGACAATACCATTTAAAAGGATAAACTTAGGATAGAAGGTTTCTTTAATCAAAATTCTTCCAGTGGCATTCATCAGAATTTTTGACAGAATTAGGGACTGGAAGAAGGAACAAAATTTTTACTGAGAGATTTAGTAGTAAATCCTGTCCTTGTTTCACAAAAGATACTTCCTAAAGTTTCCAGAGTACAGCAACAGAAAATACTAGCATGCTTGGTGAAAGTTGCATGCTAGTTTATAATGTTCATAAGCCTAAAAATGGAAAAAGTTTCTGAAAGTCTCATTCCAATCTAAACAAACCAGGTAATGCATATTCATTTTGATTAGTAAGCGCTACAGTGACAGTTACTAATTCACTTTCACAAAGAAGACATAACCCAAGACTTGCTTACCTTCTGGCTATATAAAGACGTTGCAGCAGTTCTGGCCAAGCCAACACACTCAGTCTTTCATGCAAACAATATATCTTTTACCTTCTAAGTAAGCTCAGCAGCCTGGTCAATACAGAAGGAAATATGCCGTGGAAACATTAATTCTAAAACATTACCTCTCATTCCATGGCAAATTCATATGAAGGTTAGCAAAGACCATTTTCAAGTCCTTCTATTTAAATTGAATACTAGCTACAGAAGCTGTATCTGTACTAATATATTAAGTACATATGGGACTGCTTGTTGACACTATAGTGAACTGACAAGGGCCACACCATATTCATATGTTGAAAATCTTGAGCACTGGCATCAGTTGGCAGGTGGTGAGAAATTACATTGTAAATCAATTAATTTGTAAATGTATGTATAAATATATGTACTATATATATATATACACGTAGAATTATCATTACTCCTATTTCTCTCCTCTTCCATCTTAGCAAATAGTTTTTATCTCATCTACTTTTTTCAGATTCTCTCCCCACTTTCCACTGGGAGGGGTGAGCAATGAGTGAAAGGCTGTATGGTGCTAAGCTCTCTGCCAGGTTAAACCACAACAAGGACATTCATATGAAAACTGCTCATTAGAAAACATTTCTTCACCCATGAGAAGTCTAAACTAGTAGACTAGGAACTGCGTGGGTGAGTGCTAGGTGGGGTATTTGGTACAAAATCCATGGTGATCATGCAAGAATAGTTAAGAATAATATTCTTAATAGTCTTTTGATTGTATCCCTCAAATTGGGAATGTTCTGTGATATTTATTCCAAGTAAATGAGTAGCCTGAACAATTTGAACTTAAACAAAGAAGATGGAACTAAACCCATTGAAGACACACTGAGTGATAACATTCCACTGCAAATTGAATGAGTATCTTCCTGGATTTATCTCTGCCCAGTGACATACAATTATCTCTATTGAAGGAGAAGCACAGAACAATGCTATCTTCCCAATATTTCCGAAAAGAATGACATGAACTCAGTAGCTCCTATGGAAGAACAGTAAATGTAAAAAAGGGAAAACTGCACTAGAAGAGCCCAGGTTTCTTTTCTCCACATTTTTAATCGGGCTTCTGAAGTTATCATGCTATATATCAATATCTGTGAATTTAGGCTTCAATTTTAGCATTATTCTCCATTATTATATTATTATTAATTTATTATTATATTAAAATTATTATATTATTATTCTCCAAGGAAATGAATTTATAATAAAAGTAGAATGTGAGGTACGGTAGAAGGGAAGAAGTTTGGAAGTGATCACAAAGTAACAATCTAAATTTTTTAAAGTTGCCTCTGCTTGGGTAATATCCATGCAGAAAATCTGTCTTGTACAAATGCACCTGGACACTTTTTGATGCTGGCAGAAAAGCTGAACGAAGACTTAAGTCATTACAGAGGTTCAGTGTAGTAATAGTAATGGGAAGCTGTTTTTTTTCCTGGTTTTACTTGCTTGAATATTTAGTGAAACAATGGATAAGTCCGATATAATCTGCTGCAGAAAGCTAGAAGATGATGAATGTTAACATGCTGATGTTGGAAGCTGTAATTTCATTGCAGTGATTTTTTCAACAGTAAAAAAAAAACAAAAAAAAACAAACCTGTTTAAAACACTTCATTATTTTATGAATGTGATCATGCTTGCAGACCATAAAATAATAACTGAATATGAATAATGAGGTAAACACATCAGTAATATTTTTAGATCACTTAACCAGCAATTATCTCTATGCTGGATAATCCTATGTTAAAACAGACTGAGAATGGAGGATCTACAGACAGTCTGAAGAACTAAATGATAAGAAAGAACAGCATCTTTGCAATCTTTCCTGCACCAGGAAGTTCCTGGTTCAGTTTTTACAGTTTGATGGCCTGTATTCTGGCTGACTGGGCAAGCCCTACTTTCATGTAACAAATTTCTGCTACACAGGTGAAAAATAAATAAATAAATAAATAAATCCTTACATTAGTACACACAAATGGGATAAAGAACAAGAGGAAAAAAGAAAAAATGGCTAAAAATGAGTGAATTAGAAGAGTATCAACAAAGTAAGACAGTAGAAAGAAGGAATAGAAGAAAGACTTCTGAATTAGAAAAAAGTACACATCATAGGTGCAAAGAGAACAGTAAAATCTTTGGATAAAGTTACAAGGAGTTGTCCTTGTTCCTACAGGCTTAAATCTTAAGAGAAGGTGCTAGGGGCTTATTGTTTTCCATACTGAAGTCCTGAAGTAAACAGACTACCATTAAAATAAAAAAAGCATATGCCACTAACAACATATTTCATTAGTCACTAAAAGTAACTGTGTTGTAAGCACAGTGGTTCATATTACTCCTGAGTGCAATGCTTTCACAGAGTGAACAGCTGCTTCTGTTAATTTTATTCCTACTTGAGTCAATGTTTGCACACACTTGGTAGTTAACCACAGTCATCCTCTGTCCAAACTAGTTGTATAAGAACACCTTTGCCTTTTCTATTTCTGTTTGCTAACAGTGGTTTTTTACTCAGATTAAAAATGTGGTTTCTTATTTTTGAAGTCTCTGATGTAAAAAGCTTCCATATTTTACTGAGTTGTTCCATCTGTAATCTACCTCCTAAAGGAATAGAGTTCACCTACGTGACCTACAAAAACTAGAAAATGTACATGTATGTCAGTACAAGGTCTTCCCAAAGGGACACACTTCTTTAAAATATTTTTTTCATACCTCTTGATATTAGACTCTGCCTGGATGAAAAGTAAAATCCAAATCCTCACACAAAAAAAAACAAAAATTTAACCTAGTAAAAACAACATGGCAAAGCACTTCAGATGAATGGAAAGAGAATTTTTCGTCTCTTTTTTCCTTCTCTCTCCCTCATGTTTTAGATTTAGAAATACTGAATATCTGGAAGATTGTTTTTCAATGTTTTAAAAAGAGAGTATGCTTTAATTCTGAACAAAATCAGAAAAAAAAAATAAATACAATGCACTGAAATGGATCTATTCAATTTGCTACTTAACGATTTAGCTTTCAGAACATTTAATTAGCTCTCCCATTTCCTATAGTTAAAGTAAACTGAAACAATTAGAAAAAGCACAAACATTTTTAGAATGGTATTCCATATTTTAATGACTTTGCTGTCTGCCTTAGTGCAATCTTAGATTTAGCAGAGGGCTGTTAGAGTTAGGGTAGTATGGTTATGTTGTGGTCGGACTCGATGATCTTTAAGGTCTTTTCCAACCTGAGTGATTCTATGATTCTGTGATCTTACATTGCAACTGTGAGTTGCTTCAACACATTAGAAAGTAATAGAACTGATCTGTATTTCTTTTAACTCCTCAATTAGAAAAAGAAATGTTCTAATGATTGAATGTGCAAGTAAAGCAAAGCCATAAAACTCTTTTTTAGTAAAAAACACATACTACATGATGGAGAAATAAAACAGTTTCCGAGTTAAAAATCAGTTCAATCAATTCTTCTAAATTTATCTAATTAATCAGTATATAATGATTTCAGGACTTATAATATTGATTCATAGGGACAAGATCTGATGTCTTTCTGCAACGCAGTCACAAGGAATTTCTAGTTCCAGTGTAATCCTCTGGCTTCTTGACTGCTCTGACAAAATGGTAATTTATTTTATACTTTTTCATCATACCTTGAAAATTTTGCACATTATCTCATAGACTGAAAATGTTTTCTCAGCTCGTGTCCAATCCCAGGTTGTGACCTTGGAAGAAAAAAATAGAAAAAAGAAAAAACAGGAAAAGAAACCAAGTTATTATTCTTCATTTCAGTAGTTCAGTTTATTAAAAAAATAAAATAAAAATCAATCCCTAAAACTTTCTACCTTTTACATCCAGTATAATGTACACAGAAAGGGCAAGCACTACCTCAGAGCACAAACTACCATGGATCAGCGCTGAAAAGGCGTCTGTCTCCTTGTACTTTCAATAGCTTTTCATGCAGGCTAATCTATGTTGAATGAACAGGTTTCCCCTGGGAGTCTCCTATCCATGCTGGTGGGGGTTGCATTGAGATTGCAAAATGATACAGCCCTTTAAATGTTCTCACAGAACCCTAACATGTTTCTCCATGTTTCTGTTCTTATAACAGAATTTCTTGTTATACATACATTGTTTGCAGAGGTCCTAAAACTGAAGTTTCCAACCTTGCAGTATCCTAGACACTTATCACATGTGACTTGCAATGTAGGTGCAAAAACTAACAAGAGAAAACAAAGGTAAATATACACTTTTTTTTCTTACCAGTGTGAATCTGCTCTTAAATTCGAACAGAGTGAGATTTGAATAAGTCTGTTTCTTCACATTATCTCACAATTTTTGCAACTGCTTTTAACAGTATTTATTTTAAGCAATTATTTTTAAAAAAGCCTATAAATAACTTTTTTAGGAAGCTGCAAGAAGGAAAGAGGAGAATTAGTCACAGTCTCAAAAGACGGAATACAAAACAAACAATCAAAAAAAAAAAAAAAAAAAAAAAAAGAGAAAAGAAAAACTGAGGCCTACAAGAATTACTGCAGTGCCTCAGCTTCAAAGGATCATGGTTATTACACAGCTAGGCAAGACAAAAGAGCCGAAGAAGTAGTATAGTCCGCTTTTCAAAACTTAAGAATATAAAACTCTTTGAAAAATATCATCAAATTACAGCCACAGCATAAAAGGAAGATAATACATAAGACCAACTTATTTTTTATATAAAGAGAAAACTATGAATAGACCCAATATTGCTAAGAAGCACGTATGGGCTTGGATGCTGTGACATATTACTTTCTTTTTCAAAGTGATTTTGGTATCGTATGCTAAAATTCTATACTTAACTAATTTTTAGGGATACAGACTATTAAAATTGAAACACTTTCAAGAAAAATCTTCATAGTTCATATACTCATATGCATATATATATAGTTCATAGTTCATATCTTCAAGAATTAAAATTTCAAAATGGAATTTTATTTATTTGCTGTCATCCTCCAACTCAGTTTTTTACCATCTTATTGAAGTACGGGTATTAAATCAGATTTAGAAGGAAGAAAGAGACTAAATACTATGGATCAATAAATAATGCTTCATATAAAATGAGGAAGTGAAGAAATATTGGAAAGATACAATCTTTGTCAATGAATTTTGAGAAACTATTCCGAGATGTGACAAAAAAATGCAAAACGTTTTTGTCAAAAACAAACCACCAACAACAAAAAAACAAATGTAACACACAAAAACAAAAAACCAAACCAAAAAAACCCACACCAAAACAACTAATCTGTTTCTAATTCAGACAGAAAATGAAATGATCTCTCACAAGGAACAGAGGAATGGGGAGTTGAGTTTTGCTACAGTTCCACTGAACACAAAGCACCAGCCAGAGAAGTATCATTTTGTCCTGCCCCATCAGGAAAAGTAACCTCTACTCCTGCTGAAGGCCACAGCTACTTGAAGTTTCATTTAGAAGATCATTACAGGCTCCATGCTTTGGGGAAAACACGAGAGCTCCCCCTTCTTCATAAAATTTCTCACAGCATCTTTAGAAATTGCCTGTCCTGATCACCAGTGTGCCAAGAAATCTTTGAAAGGTAATTAAGTTTTAAGATGCAAATAAGATATGTTAGAACTGATCATGCACCTGAGCACAGAGAGGCGAAGTGCTATTGATCAAATAGATAAAAAAATATAGCAGGGGGAGGCAGCTGAGGTACACTGTTTAAACACATGCCTCCCTCAGGAGTTAACAGGACAATAGTTTCTTTTAATTTTCTGGTTAAAATGTTGGCAGATCTGTTCAGAAACAGCTTAATCCAAGAAGCTTATAATACAAATATAATTAAAATTGTTTTTCTTCCTATAACAACATTTACATGTTACATAATTAGAAGCTCCAAAATTGTAGCCTTGAAAGTTTATTCTTAATCTTTTTTAATTCCTGGAAGAGATGAATATACATGCCCACAGAACAGCAAACAATTGTATGTGTAAAAGTTTGCATAGAGAATGTCCTTCTAAAAAGCCTTCTGCAGTCTTTGAGAAGACGAAAATCTTTCTGGGCATTTAAATGTACAAGTATTATACAAATGGTTTTAAGCACCTCTACAGAAACTCTTCCCCAGTTTGTCTTTTAAAGAGTTTGTTTATCATTATTCTGCCCTCCTACTCAATGGAAAGAAATTGTTTTCTTTTTGTTTCAACTGTCCTCCTATTTTAGAATAAGAACCAGAATCTGTTATATTTTTAATAATTAAATTCTGTTTTGCCCACAGCTTATCTGAAACAAGGCCCTAATAAAGACTTTGAAATCAGCCTTGTCTCATAAAACAGCAGCTTGACAGAACTGTCCTAGCTCACAGCACTGTGGTTCACATTCCTACTATAAATAGGTTCTTCCCGTAGTCATTTACCCACAAACAACATATTACTTCTGGAAACTAATAGTAAAAATGATATTGTATATAAATAGTAATAATATAACAAACTCTTGGTAAAGAAATTTGTAGTTTCTTCCACGCTGCTTACAAAAGAATAATCTTTTTCTTTTGAACAGAACAGGAGCATTCAGCATTGTATCTAGGAGGAAGATAGAATTGTGAATGAAGAATGGCATGGACACTTGCCATCTAAATTTGAACTACCTCCAACAGGAAGGATCTACAGCCCAAATCAGGATAACTGCTAACTCTTAGTACTGCCTGTATGGGTCTGCTGCCAACTCCTTAGCTACTGGCTTAAAACTTAGCTAGATGATATGTGTGTTTCCTGCAGCTTAGATGTACCATAAAGCCATGAAATTAAACTGCTGATTTGGAGACAGTAGCTGAAATTTTGCCCTTTCCTGTCAGTCAGATTCCAATTAATATTCAACCTGAACTGCCTCATTTGCTTCCCTACTTTCCTTTTGGTGCTCTCAAACTACACAGAAGTTATATTCAGGGTAAAAATTAAAGACAGAGATATTGCTCTACAAGCTGTGCCATTTCCACAGCCTGCAAAAAGCTTTGGTATTACCCAAAATCTCAGCAGTTTGCATTCAGAATGACAGTTCAGTTTAAATGTAACCAACTTGCTTCTGGCTTGTTTTGCTTGCCAAAGGGAAATGAAAAGCCCCCTTTTAATACAAATAGCTCTCTCCTGTATTGTTCTAAGTGTTCAGGTGACCGAGGGGAAAGAAGTATTTGTTAGCTGCACAGTAATCTGATGAACAGTTATTTTCTGTTACATTTATAATACATTTCTCTGGAACTTTTCAGTGCTCTGAGTTACAATGCTGTTAACAAAATGAGCGCTCAGTGTAAAAGCCTGGTACATATTACATGAAATCATTTTATTTAATAACATTTATGTCCACACAGCATGAGAAATATACTTACTGGAGGTGCCATAAATTTATACAGAGAAGATCCCCTCAGTGCTAAAAACTTTGGTGTATACATTCGATCCTGAAGGGAGTCTTGTTCCCGTTCTTCCGTCCAGCCCATGTAGACTATCTGACAAAAAAAATCAATAGTGTTGACAAATTCCTCAGGCAATTTCTTCAAATCAATTGCAAATACTTCATGCAAGAAAGCTGATGTCTGTCAAATCTTACAGAACTACAAACCTTGAACCACTGACACAATGTGATACACTGGCAGTTTACTTATAATCACATGAATGCGTAAAGCAAGCCTGTTACAACAATCAAAATATAAGAGAAAATGCCTTTATTGCCCTAGCAACAACAAAAGAGCTAAGCCACATACCTAACAGGTGTCTATGTTTTTTTTATTATCTCATTAAAAGTTCTCTAAAGGAATTCTAAATATTTGCAGACAAATCACATCAGAAAAATATGATGCAAGTGAAGTATAGAGAGCCAGTAGGCAAAAATACAAAATCAAGAAGTATTCAGATACAAGACCAACAGATAGATGAATACATGGGAACTTAATGCAATATGGAAAAAATAAATACATTCTGGAGCATATTTTGTACTTGCATATATTCAGAAATTAGTTATAAACATTTCCAGATAACTGCATAACTGAAAAAAACCCTATACTATTTAATTCAAATAACATTTCAATCTCAGAGTAAGGATTTAGAAAGGAATGCTGCAAAGTTTTTAAAGGTTAGTTGCGTTTTTTTTTACTTCAGATCACATGGCACGTTTATAAATATTTCTTCAACTACCTCTGATTTGTTGATCAAAGAAGTTTATAATGTTCAAAGAAAAGATATAGCCATACCTCAATACTCAAGAATTAAGCAGTACTCAACACTATATTGTCATGCAATAATTGAAAAACCATGCTCTCTAAAATCCCTTTCATTCCTGAATGAAAAATACTCAAGAATACAGTCCAATAGGTACAGTGAGAGAAGCTTTAAATTATTTCAGTTCAACGGTTACTCATATTCTCCTAATTTCTCCTGTTTTGTATGTTATTCAGTGCAATGAAGATAGGTAGCTCCATTCCTCTGACTTGATAGGAATCTGTGCAGCTTATTGACTGACAGAAGCTACACATGGGAGTGAAATTAATATAAGTGTACTATTACTTAGAGAAGTATATTTTTCCTCTGTAATGAAAAAAGAATGAATGATCTCTGATTTCTAGGCATTAAGACAACTTTACTTTTTAATTAATTAATTCTGTGCCATCTTTGATTTGTTTCATTAGAATTGGATATAGTAAGATGTAATCTTGTCTGATGAGATTTCATATCACTTTTTCAGTGTGTGATCTATGTTTATTTAGGTTGTTTTCTTTTTCACATTCCTCACTTAATCTAAGTTTCTATTTCTCCTACATCAAAATAACGGGGCATAGTCACGCATGATGTGCAGATGCACTGATATTTCACGTTTGATTGCCTTAATACTAAAGCAGCCATGAAATTTAAAGCAATTGCTCCTGTTGGCATTGCTCCCTTGCCTCCATAGATCACAAGGAGAAATTTGATTGATTTTTCAGACAACCTGATACACTAAGGTTTTATTAACAAAACACATTTCTCTTTCAGGCTAGATGAGTACTCTTAGACACCCAACAGAACTCTTAAACAAAAGCTGTATGACTGTAATTAGCAACAGTTACATAGTTGTTTAAATCCACGAGTGTATTCACATGTGTGGATTAAAATGACATTGGGTAGATTCTGGAAAATGGAAAAAAAGTACAAAGACTTGATTACTATTTTAACTGCATCCTCCTACAATGGCCTCAGTTTATCTAAATAAACTGAACACGTGATGCTAAAGTGTGGTAGTTTTTACATAATTGAGGTGAGAAACTGTTGAAATGTTTTCCCTTGTGGAATAAAATTGAGGCCACTTGGTTAAAGCATTTATGTTACTAATAAACATTCTGACTTCTAAAAAAGTTTTGACTATTAATAACTTCAAAAAAACTATTCATTTGGAAAGGGATCAGAACATTTCAAACTAATGGCTCGTATATACATATATATACACACTAACATTTTGGATGAATATGAAATTTGACTTGAAAAGCTGAATTTAATAAGATTCTATCTAAAAAGAAATGCTTATTACTGTGGATACAGGATGTATATGGAACCAGAAATAGTGCACAGAATGCCCACTTTACACATTTAAAAATGAGGGTAATTTTTTTAATCACAGAAATGTTTCTGTATAAACTGCTGACCACTATCAACAATAGTAAGAAAATAAATATAGTAAGAAAATAGTAAGAAAACAATACATTTTATTTGTGATAAGATTCCAGTTTATTTATTTAATTATTTATTTCCCCAGTCCTGGCAGTTTCTAACTTAACTGCAGCAGCTCATTCTTCAAAATCAAATGGTGACACAAACCAGTTAATTTAGTGGCTGCTGGCTTACTAATAAAGATTCAGTAAGTTATTACTGTTTGTGAGCTGAATCATGTTCAGTTGAAAGAAGCTGTATTTCTACGAAAAATGAAACAGCATGCTCTCTTCAATCAAAAATTCATAATCTCCCAGTCATTCGTTACCTCACATAGATATTCCAGGCAAGAAGAAAGTAAACTGCTAATTACTGTATTTCTTATCTATTCAAAATACTGCTTAAATTTCTTAATTAGCTACATCTCCAGAGTTTTAACATAGTCTTTACCATATTTTAGGAAGGATGGTAAAATAAAAATAGTATAAATAAGATAAAATAAAATTTCTTAGAAACAAAGTGTAAAATTTATGCTATTTTTAATGTGAGGCCATTCAAAGATTAGAGCAGATGCACTGACAGCTTCCTATCATGGAAGTCTCATATTTATACTCATACAGCTGTTTTAGTATACTTTTTCCTGTATGATAATTTCAAAATTCCTTATAGGAAATTGTTATTAGTTTAAAAAAAGTCCTTTTTTTTTTTTTTTTTATAAAGATAAATAAATATTCCGCAAATGAAAGGCACAGTATACATCTTGCTAAGTCTATGCATTTATTAAATATGTCTACCTTGTAGCATTATAGCAAAGAAAATGTGTATCAAAGCATCCTGGATGTCTTTTAGTAGTTAAAAAATATAGAAAAGTTTGAATTATTTCCCCCTGTGTGTGATGTTATGAACTCTTCATTTGTAAGAATATCCAGAACTTGACTGGGCAAAGTCCTGACCAACATGACTTATGCTGACCCTTCCTGGAACAGGGTTTTGACCAAGTAACCTACAATAAGTCATCCAACATAAATCTGTCTATGATTCAGAATCCTTAGTATCAAAACAGTCATATGTGTCTTGGGATCTGTTTCAGAGCAGTCACAGTTTACTACTCTTAGCATCCAACTTCAGCATGACTTTTTTTTTAACAATGTCATGGTACTTCCATGGTAAACAGGATACTGCGTACTAATATATATAACCTACATTCTTATACTCTCTTATATAAAAGTCTTCCTAAATTAATTACTCAGAAAGTAAGAGAAGTGAGAACAATGTGCAACTACTTCAAATATTAACTTGCAAACAATGAATCCAAGTATGGCTAGATTGAGAAAGAGAACCACAACACAGCATCATTCTGAGACAGCAAGATAGAGGGAAACTACTTTTAAAATCCCTTCTCCTGGAATTGAGAAAACCTTAGAGATGATTAGATGAAGAACATGATATTCAATAGATTCTACATGCTACTGTTTTCATGCTTCTATCTATACCTTAATTTTTATCATTGATTTGGTTCTTAAACCTGGTTTTGCTGTGTTAGAATAAAGCTTATTTTCATTTGCCTTACTTTTAAAGTGAACCTGAAGAATTATTCACAGGTTATACGCCCGTGGCCTCTGGCAGGGAATTAGTAATAAAGTTCACAACACTTATTGAACTCACATTGCACTTAATTATTTTTCTACGATATATTGATACCTGTCAATATGTTACTTTATCTCTGACATATCTCAGTATTTCCATGAATGTTGAGTTTTGAAAAAGTCAGTCCTTTAAGGAGTGTTGACTAACAATCATTTTGCAATATCACTACTCTCTTAATTCCATTCTGTCAATGAGAAGCATTCCACCATTATGAATAACATGGAAGAATAAATCCCATAAAGGTTTTATCTTTTCCAAAATTAAGATAGCTGTGTTGATCCTACATGAAGCTCCAACTTCAGTGACAGACTCAGAGGCTCTGTATCCACAGAGAGCTCTGCAGTGTGACAGACAGTCTCTTCGCCCCTAGGAGGATAATGTAAAAAATCAGCCAAGGCAGCCATTTTTGTGGCCGCAGAAGAGATCTTTATGAAAAATGTCAAGCCCTGTGAAAAGTGTAAAGTTACCGACAGGAACTATCAAACAATTTTTAGATGTAGACCTGTAAATAACACTTAGCCAAAAGTTTTTCCTCTCACAGAGCTCACTTCTATTTCAGGATCTTTCTGCATACTTTCAGGGGTTCAGACCCTTTTTTGCATGATGTCCTCTCCCATTGCCTTGGATAGTTTTTGAATTGCAGACCAGCTTGAGCAGGAGACATAAGAGAGGCTGCCATACTATCTAATCTATTGGCATTAGGGCAGGCTTGTAGGAATGATAAATTGGAATAATGAGTGACTAGTGCGGCTATGAAGCAAGTACCACAAACACTGGGTTGTTAAAAAGTTATGGAAAGCAGCATGACTTCTCAATGTATACTTGAAATAAAGCAGCTAGAAATTGAGTATCACACTATTCTGATTCTGCTGGACTTCAGAAGTACTCTGGGAATATCAGTTGGATAAAGTGCATATGGACCACTCAGCCACTTATATGCCACCAGAGCCATCAGCCAGAGACTTGAGAGAAGCTAGATGCCTGTCTGGAATTTGTCTGAAAGTTCCCAGATTCAACATTACCTATCTGCTGCTTCAGACATGCACAATTTTCCTTATGATTCTATGTAAGTAAAGATGCACATTTTTGGTTCTAAACTTCGCATCTCTTAGAGAAATTCCAACAAGAAAAATTATTTATAACAAATAAATAAATGTTTTTGTCATTAGCTTCTGAGAAGAGC